CTTATTCTCACCACAGGACCTTCCTCCTGGTGTCTGATAACGCTTGTACTCCTCAGTCCTCCAGCAGCACACCCTCTCACTCTCAGCTCCTTGCGCCTCTTGCTCCCAGCTCCTCACACTCGCACCACAAACTGAAGTGAGCTCCTTTTTAAAACCCAGGTGCCCTGATTAGCCTGCCTTAATTGATTCTAGCAGCTTCTTCTTAATTGGCTCCAGGTGTCCTAATTAGCCTGCCTGCCTTAACTGGTTCTAGCAGGTTCCTGATTACTCTAGTGCAGCCCCTGCTCTGGTCACTCAGGGAACAGAAAGCTACTCATCCAGTGACCAGTATATTTGCCCTCTACCAGACTCCTGTAACCACACTCCTGTCCCTGTTCTTTTATTAGTTGTCCCCCGTAATTTTTTGGTCTCCAGGTCCTGTGGATCCCCCCCTTAGGCTGGGGGGGGATCCTTTAGCAGGATCCCAATAGGACCAAACTCCTGTACCCCACCGGTCTGGGTCTGTCACAATACAGACCACAACACAAACAGAAAACTATAATACAGTGTGAAGGGAACAGTGAATACCACCATGAAATGGATAATAATGCTATGGAAGGCCAAAATCTAGCAGTATTTTCATGCTATTGATAAGCTGGAGAGCAGAAATGAAAACAATAGATAAAAAGCCAGTTAGCCTGGGGGTGGAGAGGAAGAAAGCCTCCAAATCTCATTCATTTTGACTGCCTCTGGTTATTGATCTTACTTTTAGTATCTCTATACATTATAAATTGCAAAATGGGGAACAATAGAAGAGTGCTCTGGTGCTGATAAAGGTTTGTCAGATACAACCAACTCATCCCTTGAAAAGAAAATATTATCGAAATGCACAAATATAACATATTTAGGTTTTATAGCTTGATTCTTTCAGGGTTTTTTTTTTTTGGAAATACAGATAAACTACACAACACACTGGGCACAGGCTGGGAATACGAAAAGGTCAGACCGATTACAGTAAATTAAAACCACTCACCGTCACAATCAAAAAGAGCAAACACCACATCACACACATGGTCTGAGAGCTCCACTTTTGCCACTGTCCTGGCTACCTGCTGCATGGTAACTGAAATAAAATAAGGATACATTATTAATAGAATGCAATAATCTTAAATCAGTGTTATCTTTCATCTTTCACCTTTTGTAACTGTTTTTGTTCGAGATGTGTTGCTCATGTTCATTCCATTCTAGGTGTGTGCACACCCACATGCACAGCTGTTGGAGACTTTTACCGTAGCGGTATCCATAGGGTAGGCTGTGGCCCCCCCCTGAATGCCGCGCTCATGCGTCGGTATATTAGGTGCTGCCGACCCTACGCCCTCTCAGTTCCTTCTTGCAGGCAACTCCGACAGATGGCTGGGGGGGGGGGGGGGTGGGGGGGTAATGGAATGGACATGAGCAACATATCCTGAAGACCAACAGTTACAAAAGGTAGGTAACCGTTTTTAGTTCTTCAAGTGCTTGCTCATGTCGATTCCATTCTAGGTGACTCACAAGCAGTATTCTTGGAGGTGTGCTCGGAGTTCACAGTTTAGCAGCTTGTAGTACTGCCATACCGAAGCCAGCATCGTCCCAGGCCTGCTGGGTAAGTGCGTAGTGGGACGTGAACGTATGGATGGCTGGCCAGGTGGCCACCTTACAGATGTCCTAGATAGGCAACTGGGCCAGAAAAGCTGCCAAAGAGGCCTGTGCCCTGGTCGAGTGGGCGGTTACAATTGCCAGGGATGGCACTTTTCCCTGATAGCAGCAGCAGCAAATACAGGTGGTGATTCAAGAAGAAATTCTTTGAGCAGACACCGGGCGACCTTTCATCCTGTTAGCCACAGCGATGGACAATTGCGTTGACTTGCGGAATGGCTTGGTCCTTTCAATGTAGAAGGCTAATGTCCTCCTGACGTCTAGGGAATGCAGCCTACACTCCTTCTCTGACTTATGCGGCTCTGGAAAAAAGACAGGTAAGTAAATATCCTGGCCCATATGAAACAGAGACCATGTTGGGCAGGAAAGCCAGGAGTGGCCTCAGCTGGACCTTGTCTTTGTAAAAGACCCTGTAAGGTGGTTTCAAGGTGAGTGCCCTAATCTCAGAGACCTGGCAGGCAGATGTTACTGCAACCAGGAGGACAACCTTCCAGGAAAAGAGAAGGAGAGAGCAGGAAGCCAGAGGTTTGAAGGGGGGTCCTGTGAGCCGAGACGGCACCAGATTGAGGTCCCACGGAGGAACGTGTGGGTAGAGGTGCTCAAGGCCCTTGAGGAACCTGGCAGTTATGTCCTGGGCAAAAATCAACCTTCCCTCAAGCGGCAGATGGAAGGCCGAGATAGCCGCCAAGTCAACCTTGACAGTTGAAAGGGACAGGCCTTGGAGCTTGAGATGCAGAAGGTAGTCCAGGATTAACTGCAGTGAGGCTTGCTCAGGCTTAATGCCTTTGTCTGAGGTCCAGCAGGTGAACTGCTTCCATTTGGCCAGGTAGGTTGCTCTGGTGGAGGGCTTTCTACTGCCCAACAGGACCTGTTGGACATCAGCCGAGCACTGATGCTCCTGCGCATTTAACTATGCAGTAGCCAAGCTGTCAGGTGCCGTGCCGCCAGGTTCGGATGCAGGAGACTGCCATGGTTCTGGTATAGTAGGTCCAGCCTGAGCGGTAGCAGCAATGGAGCGGCCACCGAGAGGTTCAGGAGCATGCCGAACCAATGCTGGCGCAGCCAACCTGGCGCTATGAACTGCAGATGTAACCTGAGGATATTACTTCTAGCACCCAATGGTCCGAGGTTAGCCGAGACCAGGCTGACCAGAAGGGGTGGAGGCGGTCGAGGAGAGAGAGGGAGGGTCGATCCAGTGAAGTGACTGGGTCGTCATCCTTGAGCGCACCCTCAAAATGACTGTTTCTGGCCTCCTGGGAGGGTCAGGCTGAGCAGACAAGCAGGAAGATGACGGGTGTCGCTGCTTAGACCCTTTGTCTCTGTCCTTCCTCATGTAGGAACCGGATCGGGGAGTTCCCCAGGACCTAGACTGCGGGGGCAGAGGAAGTGGAGGATGGAACGGCTTCCTGGCCTGCTGAGGTGTGTGAAGGCCCAAGAAGCAGAGGGTGGCCCAGGAGTCTTTAAGGTCGTGGCACCTTGAATCCGTGAGCTCGGAGAAGAGCCCTGCCCCCTCAAATGGGAGGTCCTGAATAGAGGCCTGCATCTCCTGGGACAACCTGGAGGACTGCAACCAGGAGCTGTGCCTCATGACCACTATAGAGGCAACCATCCTGGCTGCTGAGTCAGTAGTGTCCCAGGCCATTTGGAGGGCCCCCCTTGGCACCACTGTGCCCTCGTCCACCAAAGCGGCAAACTCCCGGGCTCGATCCTGTGAAAGGGCCTCTTTGAATTTGTTAAGGGAGTCCCACAGGTTAAAATTGTACCTGCCTAACAGGGGCTGGTGGTTAGACACTGTGAATTGTAGGCTGGCTATTGAATAAATCTTTCTGACAAATAAATCAAGTCTCTTGGCATCTTTGTTCTTTGGTGTGCCACTAACTTGGTCTTGCCTGTCCCTTTCATTCACAGCGGACACGACCAGTGAAGCCGCTGGAGGGTGTGTGTAGAGGTATTCAAACCATTTTGTAGGGTTGTAATACTTCTTTTCCGCCTTCTTAGAACTCAGCAGAATGGAAGAGGGGGTTTGCCACAAGGACTTGGCAATTTTAAGGACCCTGGAGGGACGGGCAGCGTGACCCGGGCCGGGGTGGAGGAGGAGGATATAACGTTAAAGAGGTCATCAGATTCCTCCGCGACCTCCTCAATTTGTAGGTTCAAATTAGCAGCCACCCTTTTAAGGAGGCCCTGGTGCTCCTTGAAGTCGTCGGGGGACTGCCTGTTTTGGAGGGACCTGCCACCGCTTTGTCCGGGGAAGACGACGATGACTGCACCGCCTGTGGAGGAGCAGATTCCCCCTTCCTCTCCGGGGACGGCTCCTTAGGTGCTGAGGTTTGGTGCGCTGTCCCCGCGTTGGATTCGGTATCACGTTCTGACTCCGGCGCTGGCAGGGCCGGTTTGTCTGAGGCAGCGAGGGAGGACTGGTGGGAACACGGGACTGGCGTTACTGGCACGCCTCACGGGTTCCAGTACGACCATTGAGCAGACAACTGTCCCTGCTGCCATGTTGTCACTGCAGGTGCCATGCCAGTCTCACGAGTCGGCGGCGAATTACCCCTCCTTGGCGACGGGCTGAACTCCTGGTCCGACTTGGACCACAGAATTGGAAGGGAGCTTGAGAGATCACCTTGTCCAGTCCCCTGCACTCATGGCAGGACTAATTATCTAGACCATTCCTGACAGGTGTTTGTCTAACCTGCTCTTAAAAATCTCCAATGATGGAGATTACACAACCTCCGTAGACAATTTATTCCAGTGCTTAACCACCCTGACAGTTAGGAAGTTTTTCCTAATGTCCAACCTAAACCTCCTTGCTGCAATTTAAGCCCATTGCTTCTTGTCCTAGCCTCAGAGGTTAAGAAAAACATTTTTTCTTCCTCCTCCTTGTAACAACCTTTTACATACTTGAAAACTGTTATGTCCCCTCTCAGTCTTCTCTTTTCCAGATTAAACAAACCCAATTTTTTCAATCTTCCCTCATAGGTCATGTTTTCTAGACCTTTAATCATTTTTGTTGCTCTTCTCTGGACTCTCTCCAATTTGTCCATATCCTTCCTGAAATGTGGCGCCCAGAACTGGACACAATACTCCAGATGAGGCCTAATCAGCACAGAGTAGAGCGGAAGAATTACGTCTCAGGTCTTGCTTACAACACTCCTGCTAATACATCCCAGAATGATGTTCACTTTTTTTGCAACAGCGTTACCCTGTTGACTCATATTTAGCTTGTGGTCCACTATGACCCCCAGATCCCTTTCCACAGTACTCCTACCTAGGCAGTTATTTCCCATTTTGTATGTGTGCAACTGATTTTTCCTTCCTAAATGGAGTACTCTGCATTTGTCCTTATTGAATTTCATCCTATTTACTTCAGATCATTTCTCCAGTTCGTCCAGATCATTTTGAATTTTAATCCTATCCTCCAAAGCACTTGCAACCCCTCTCAGCTTGGTATCATCTGCAAACTTTATAAGTATACTCTGTATGCCATTATACCATACTCTGTATGCCTGTATACCATTGCCCTTACGGCGACCAGGGCGGAGCCATTGAGGCCTGAGTCTACCAACTGACTCTGGTTGGCGACTGGCGAGGTGAGGGCGAGGAACAGTACCGGGAGGAACGGGATCAATGCTGTGACAAGGAGCGGCCCTGCCTGGGCAGGGACTGACATCTGGGAGACCGTCTGGGTGAAGGTGACCTGGGCCGTGGTGATCTTTGATGAGAAGCTTGCCGGTACTGGTGGTACGGGGACCGGTGCCTTGACTCTGGTTTCCCATGTCTTATAGGGGGAGAACGCATCGAGGACCTGGGCCTTCTGGTCGGTGACCTAGGATACAGTGCCGAGGTCCAAGGCTGTGGAGATGTGCCTGCGGTCCAGTGACCAAGGGTGCTCCACTGATCTGTGAGGCGTTCCCATGATCGGCTTGCCCTAAGATGTCAGGGTCTTAGCCGAACCTGCTGCCTGTTGTGGCATCTGCGGTGCCAGTCAGCCTACTTGTTCTTTAGCCGCCAGGGCCGCTTTGGGCAATGAGGGCCCTGGGAGAGACCAGGGTCCCCTGCCGCTCCCCAGAGTCAGATTCCTGGCCGGGCTGGGGCATCGACCTGTGCCATAGCCCCGTGAAGCCCCAGGGCAGGCACATGGCCTGACTTCGGTCCTTTCCAAAAGCCCCTTTCCCTTCTGGTGCCAGGAGGGCTCCTCTTCTTTTGCCGCTTCTTAGGCACCGGCGAGGGGGAACAATGCGGGGTGGAGCCCAGTGCTGGCATTGTGCTCTGCACTGAAATCGAAGTGCTCAGTGTGGGGTCCGAGTGGGAGGGCTCTGATGCAGGACGAAGCACAGCCTCCATGAGGAGGGCCCTCAAGCAGATATCCTTCTCCTTTGGGTTCTAGGTCGAAAGTTTTTACAGATTCGACACTTGTCCTTTCTATGG